TACGAGAAATTCTATTTATATATATGCATAACGTGTACAATATGTAGTATCGTAAAATACCAGCAAACGAAAAAGAATTAAATGGATAACACAAAATTAAAAGAATAATAAATAATAAAACCAAAACCCCCCAAAATTTTAGTACCGATTGATGTTACCAACCGGCACTAAATGTGTCCCCACACCCGGCCCTGGCTCGTGCCACGTGGTGGCCCTTTAGCGGCGGTTCGTGCTGAACCGGTACTAAAGGGGGGGGGGACCTTTAGTCCCCACCCTTTAGTGCCTGTTACAGAACCGGCACTAAAGGCCCTTACGAACCGGGGCTATAGCCCAGTTCTGCACTAATGAGGGAACCCTAACCACCTCCGAGCGCCTCCCCTCCCCTCCCGTCGCTAGAGGGCGTGACCGGGCAAGGCCCGGCCAACGCCGGCGACAGCAAGGCTCTTCGGCCCCCTCGCGCGTGGATCTGATGCGGGCTGGATTTGACAGGCAAGGGCATCGTGATGTGGAGGATTGCGGCGCCATGATCTGGTTTCCTAGCGGGTGCGTCCATGTGATTTTGTGGTCACCGCTAAGAGATGCTGCAAATTTGCAACACTTATAGCAAAATTTGGTCTTTGAAGAGCTAAAGCTATGGATGAACCCAAACAGCTCAGACTTTCCCCGCATCCCCGCCTCCTCCTCCAAAAAAAGCTAGGGTTTGTGCCTCTCGCCGGCTCCGCCGCAGGTCTGCCTCGTCTCCGATGACCCTAGGGCCATGGGGGCGTAGTGGAACCTGGAAAAGGCTGGCGGGAGGGCTCTGTTGTTAGTAGTTCCTTTGAGATTTGTTAGAGTTTGTGTCCTGCGCAGGAAGGCGCGACGACGACGGCTCCCTGAAGATGAAATAAAGGTCTCCCGGCCTACCCCCGTTCCGTTGGTGCATCTAGCATCATTGGTGGTCGTGTGTGTTGGGTTTCGTAGTAATTTCAAAAAAATTCCTACGCACACGCAAGATCATGTGATGCATAGCAACGAGAGGGGAGAGTGTTGTCTACATACCCACGCAGACCGACTGCGGAAGCGTTGACGCAACGTAGAGGAAGTAGTCGTACGTCTTCACGATCCAACCGATCAAGCACCGAAACTACGGCACCTCCGAGTTCAAGCACACGTTCAGCTCGATGACGATCCCCGGACTCCGATCCAGCAAAGTGTCGGGGAAGAGTTCCGTCAGCACGACGGCGTGGTGACGATCTTGATGTACTACAACAGCAGGGCTTCGCCTAAACTCCGCTACAGTATTATCGAGGACTATGGTGGCTGGGGGCACCGCACACGGCTAAGGAATAGATCACGTGGATCAACTTGTGTGTTCTAGGGTGCCTCTACCTCAGTATATAAAGGACCAAAGGGGGGAGGCTGGCCGGCCACAAGGGGCGCGCCAGGAGAGTCCTACTCCCTCCGGGAGTAGGATTCCCCCCCCCCCCAATCCTAGTTGGAATAGGATTCCTCGGGGGGGAAGAGAGAGACGGGGCCGGCCACCTCTCCTAGTCCTAATAGGACTAGGGGAGGGGGGAGGTGCGCAGCCCACCTTGGGCTGCCCCTTTCTCCTTTCCACTAAAGCCCACTAAGGCCCATATGGTTCCCGGGGGGTTCCGGTAACCTCCCGGTACTCCGGTAAAATCCCGATTTCACCCGGAACACTTCTGATATCCAAACATAGGCTTCCAATATATCAATCTTTATGTCTCGACCATTTCGAGACTCCTCGTCATGTCCGTGATCACATTCGGGACTCCGAACTAACTTCGGTACATCAAAATGCATAAACTCATAATATAACTGTCATCGTAACCTTAAGTGTGCGGACCCTACGGGTTCAAGAACAATGTAGACATGACCGAGACATGTCTCCGGTCAATAACCAATAGCGGGACCTGGATGCCCATATTGGCTCCTACATATTCTATGAAGATCTTTATCGGTCAGACCGCATAACAACATACGTTGTTCCTTTTGTCATCGGTATGTTACTTGCCCGAGATTCGATCGTCGGTATCCAATACCTAGTTCAATCTCGTTACCGGCAAGTCTTTTTACTCGTTCCGTAATACATCATCTCACAACTAACATCTTAGTTACAATGCTTGCAAGGCTTATGTGATGTGTATTACCGAGAGGGCCCCAGAGATACCTCTCCGACAATCGGAGTGACAAATCCTAGTCTCGAAATACGCCAACCCAACATGTACCTTTGGAGACACCTGTAATGCTCCTTTATAATCACCCAGTAACGTTGTGACGTTTGGTAGCACCCAAAGTGTTCCTCCGGCAAACGGGAGTTACATAATCTCATAGTCATAGGAACATGTATAAGTCATGAAGAAAAGCAATAGCAACATACTAAACGATCGGGTGCTAAGCTAATGGAATGGGTCATGTCAATCAGATCATTCAACTAATGATGTGACCTCGTTAATCAAATAACAACTCATTGTTCATGGTTAGGAAACATAACCATCTTTGATTAACGAGCTAGTCAAATAGAGGCATACTAGTGACACTTTGTTTGTCTATGTATTCACACATGTATTATGTTTCCGATTAATACAATTCTAGCATGAATAATAAACATTTATCATGATTATAAGGAAATAAATAATAACTTTATTATTGCCTCTAGGGCATATTTCCTTCAGTGTGGAGGTGTGTCTCCGGCGGATCTATCCTCGATGGATTTGCTTGGATATGGTTGTTGTTCGTCTATGTTAATGTGCCTTAGAGTTGGATCCTTTTAATCTACGTTATTCTTCGTCGACTGCGGTTGTTGTTCTGGTGTGCTGGTCCTATGGAGCCTTAGCACGGTGACTTTCCGATCATATCCAACAACAAGTTGTGCCCGACTCCGACAAGAGAGGGGCTATGACGGCGACACGCCTTCGGCCCGCTTCAGTGTTTGTAGTCGTCGCTAGGTGGCCTATGGATCTGGAGGTAATTTTTATTATTTCCGGTGTTCGTCGTACTGTCATGATTAAAGATGAATAGATTAGAAGTTTTCTCGAAAAGAAGAAAAAAACTATGGAAGAACCAGTTCACCCACAGCGGTTGGATTCTCTTGTTGAATAAAAACTCTCATTTTCCCCTAAAAAGGAGGTATCAACACTATGGGAATTTGAAGAGAGAAAAGAAAGAGAATATACCCATAAACCAATTCAGCTGATCCACAGATATTCATGCAAGTCATTCCTCGGCGTATATATACGATCATACGTATATACACCAGAACTAGTACACAGCTTTTCAGATCAATATGTCCAATCCACAAGTATATACTAGAATTAATGTGTAGATTGTAATACAACGCAAATGACAGATTATACAAACAAACTGCTTACAAACAACTCCGTCGTAATATACAACAATGTGTAGATTATGTACTAGAAATCAACAGACCAAAAAATTTTAATCAATACAAATCGAATTATTGGCCTCATCAATCAGTCAACAAAACCAAATAAATACTCCCCAAAGCACAAGGACCTTATTGCGGCAAGCTTCTTCTCCGTGGGTGGTCCGCGGTCGCTGACTTGGGGTTCAAAGTTGAAGCATTGGTTTTAGGTTGAGCAAGCTTTTTCAATCGCTCAATCAAGGATTCGGTTGTGCCGCCACTTTTCTCCTTTTTCATCTCAGCCAAGGATGAGGTTGACTTGCTCACTGCGCTTGCTTTAGCTGTGGTTTTCTGGGGATTCGATGCGCCGCTTCTTGCAGCAATCCTCTTTTCCCTCTCTTGCTTAAGCCTTTCCAGCCGTTTCATCTGCTCCGCTTCCTGAAAATATTTATTTACAACAACAAAAACTCATCAGCGGTTTGAGCAAATGCTTCCTGCTGAAAACTGCAATTCTGCTGATGCATACAAATGACATTCTCCACCACATTTTTTGCCCTATTATTTGCTTCTAGGTACTGGTCTTCTACTCTAGTGACACATATGAAAAATATGGCATTCAATACATGTGAGAATGGTGGGGGTATTAATTTAATTTTGCCACACCAGAAGGACATAGATAATACTAGAGCACTCTGTTGTATATAGATTCAATTTGGTCACTTAAAAATATGCGATGAGGACGATAAAAAAGAGTAAACTAATCATGTGGGGCAGAAGAAAAGAATAAACTGTTTAATATATAAAATGTATAAAAGTAAAACATCAATACCAGCTCCTTCTTTTCCTTTTGAAGGCTCGCTTTGTACGCCCGTAGGTTTTGCGCACGTTTCTGTGCATCAGTTAGTGGTCCTTTGGGCGCTGACAATCTCCTTGCTGAGGCATCCTTCCTTCTTTTATCCACGCCCTCCTGTGAACCTCTAAGCTTCTTATCTTTCCCCGGCATCTTTTCTTCACCCTCAACACAAACGGATAAATCCTCTGCATTTGCATCTTCAACGCTGACGTCATGCTGAATCTGCATGTGGCTGTCATAGTCCATTGATGGGTCATATCCAAATGAAACATCTTCAAATCCACGCTCTGGAATCAACTCATCTGGCTCATAGAAAAGTTCAGCTCCAGCCTTAGCATCTGATGTTTTCTGAACACTTGAGCCAAGCTCGGCATCTATGTCAATGGCAGTACGGCCGGCTGCTCCAAGATTATCCTGTGAGTTGGAGGTAACAGGTATCATGAAGGACTCATCGCCCATACTGTGCACATTCTTCTTTTCCTCTAGAGGAGTGGGTCTCTTGTAATGCGCCTCGGCAAGGGGGTCCAAGGAGCTCCTCCTGTCCATTGAGTTGTCCTGTCCATAAACCATGAAGTCATCATTTGCCCCTCTTCTGTATCCTCCACCTCCAGCTTCTATCTCCTTCATGCCACCATCCACAAAGCTCCGACCTTCCGCAGACATCATAAGTTCATCACCAGACATCATCTGCCTGGCCCTAATTCTCCCGTTGGCTGAACTGAAAGACATCGCATGCCGCTCATTGACATCGGCAGAACCTCGCTCTGATAAAAGAATAGGATCATCAATACTTCTTGTGGTCTCTTTCCTCCTAGGTGGTTGTGGTGCCTCTCTTTCACTGGCGAACATGTCCGCGTCATTATGATCTCTTGTCTTCTCTTCATCTCTGAGCAAGAAATTCTGGAACGCATTCCAGTTTCCTTGATCTCCATCTTGCTGCCCATTAGACATTCCATCCTTGGTGTACTCATCTTCAGACTCAACAGTGGTTTTCTTATCCCCTTTTTTCTTCGAGCTTGAGCGCTTATGATGATTCCTCTTGCTGGATTTTCTGTGTGAATCGTCACTATCTTCTGATGCCACATCAGAGCCTGATTGCGACTCACTCTCTGATGACCCATGCTTCTTCCTTGATGTTACATTTACATTGCGTATGACAATTACATTAGATTTCTTCTTGCCCGAGCGATTGCCCTTTTTACTCGACTTGCGGCCATGAGAACTCTCCCTCTCTGAACCACTTTGGTCATCACTTTCATCATCGGAGTTGTCAAAGTCCTTGCTATCTGCTGAGTGCCTCCTTGATAGTCTCCTTTCTGAACGGTTGTACCTGGGATCATCCGTTGGGGGGTAGGGAGGAGGGTAATATGGGTTCGCCCCAGGGTAGTATGGTGGCATGCCTTGCATGGGATAAGGAGGATGCATTGCCCATGGTGGATATCCTGATTGATATGGACCATGATGGGGAGCTCCTGGGTGCTGAGGTGTCCTGTGATCTGTCAAGCAACAGAGAAATGATTCCTCAGACCCAAGTTCTCTCTCACAGTAAAAAAGAAAAAGCAAAACATGAATCGATTGTGTATGCAGATTGACAAAAAAGGGTACAAATTCAACATGCCTGGACAATAATAACGGAAAATTGTCGTGTAAAAATAAGCAGAAGGCAGCAATATATTAGGAACAATTTGGGTCACAATTTTCAGATAACAGAAAACTCAAAATAAAACATTGTTATAGGCTATGGAAGAAATAAAGTGAATGGTTCTTGTGAGCATTTGGAAAGTACAAGTACAAATACAAATACAAAACATACAAAATCCGCTTATCAACTACAAAGATACTAAATACAAACAAAGTGAGCATTTGGAATGTAGTAAGTTAAGTCATGGCACCAACATACCAGCTTTAGCAGCATCTTCGCCATTTGTATCTCCATTAGAGACAGACATTGTTTCCTTATCTCCCATTAACATAATGCCAGCAGCATTGAAGGGAGGAAATTCAGAACGTGCAGACATAGCTTCAGGTTCAACATCAATCCACTGTCCAGTTTCATGTTTTTGCCTCCACAAATCAATGAACTGTGTGCACGCCTTCCTATTAATTGATAGCAAATCAATGAACGTGTTAGCGCAACAGATTTGATACTAATGCACTCACAGAAATTGCTTAAGCTACTTGTGCATTGCAACAACATTCAGCAAGACTGTATACTCAGCATCAGAATGGAATGCAATAAATTATGCAGTTCTCATATGGAGTGGGCGCAAATTAATCAGCAGCCTCAGGTTCACATCATCTACATGAATATATGTCATATCCAATGGAAAGATACTTACATCAAGCGTGAAGCACCAAAACGCTCTGCAAATGAGATCAAATATATCAGGTTGTCAATATCAAACCCAGCAGCTACAGCACGTGCAAAGGCCATAGCCTGCTCTTTACGTAAGACAGTCTTGCGAGTCTCCAGCACTCTGAGAAGCTGAACTCTGCAAAACATTGTAAAATAAATAAATCCATTCACACCTTACCGCAATGCAGATAAAAAGGAAATTCCAAAAAATAAGACATCATCCCAGAGAAGTGCAGATAAGGTAATCAAGGAGCTGAATTTGACTGTAGAATGAGTGTGAGAACCGTTGATTAGATAAAAAGCATAGGCTACTCCATGGAAACAAAACAAAAAATAAGACAATAGTTTCTTCATGTAATCAAGAAAAGAATGTGAGATATAGAATGCCTTTAAGGAAAACATCATGGAGAAAAGGGGGGCTTATGCAGATAAATACTTTGAATGCTCCTCGTGTACTCCAGTGTCATTCTGCAGTGGAGATGCTGGATGTGTGTCAGGCTGTCAAAAATATGAGAGTTATAAGCCCCTCTTACCACGACACATTCACATAGCGAAAAAACAGTTTTATTACCTATTGACACAGCCATACCTTGTACAGGACGAGTGCCTTATCACCATCTGGATCATAACTTGTCTTGCTGCCTGTAAAGGGATATGTCAGGTATATTTATCGACGGAAAACGGGATGCAAAATCATGTTTCAGTACAGATCAATCTATCATCAGAAAACATAAATATTTCCCCTGCACTTTTTTATGGAGTTGCGAATCGTCCTGAAAACTTGTGCACTTAATGATGGTTAGATCCATCACAGAATAATCAGCTTCCAATATAAGTTAGGTAAAACAGAACAGAAGGGAATGTATAAACAGGAATAAAGACAGGCCATGCATCAACCATAAATATACTTTTAAGCCATCCACTATCATGTACTACCACAGCTGTGACTGATGGTACACCGCACCAAACTCCATAACGAATGATAGATTCTAAAGAAGCAGCACTGCATTTCCAGCTACGAATAAGCATTGCTGAAGATTTCTTGGTAGACATTGTGACCATGCAAGGAATGAAATCGGTAGCATCTCTTATACGTACCTTCCATGGAGGAGTCCACATTATGGCCTTCTGCCTGGCAAATCACAAACAGAAACATGTCACTGTTCTGCTATTATTTCTCTCAACAAATAAACAGGTACACAATAGAATAGATGATAATCCTGCACTTACAGATTTGAGTCCAATATTTGCATTGTTCTGGACAGCGATGGCATCCTGGAGCTGCAGTATCTCGGACTCGATGGTGGTGACCCGCTCCAGGACCTCCGGCGTGCTCACGAACCGGACGAACCTAATGCCAACACCACGCAAAATGAGCCACCACCGCCGACACTGCTGACAAATAAACACGAGACGAACCTCTGGATGGTGCCTCTGGTGAACCAGGGGGCGTCGGCCCCCGGATCCGGCTGGAGCAGGATGGTGTAGCCTCCCTTGGCGATCTGGTCCTGGGCGGCCTTGAGGTGGGCGACGAAGGGGTTGAGCAGGCCGGAGGCGATCTTCTCCTTCCTCCCATTCACCACCACAACCAAATCACACCTAGAAACAAGAAAGGGGGGAGAAACAGAGAATTCGTTATAATGCTACTACTACCGCCACACACACACACACACACACACACACAAGAAATTGTTGGAGATGCCAATGAAACCAGTAAGCTTGAGCAATCAGCAGAAGACAAAATCAGCAATAAGTATGAATGGTATCTATCTCCTCCTGGATCTACCACCTGTAGCAACAGAAAGAGCAGAGCTTTGGGCATTCCCATCTTTGGTGGCGGCGCAACAGCAAAGATGGGGAATTTGGTTTGGTGGGCAGATCCGCCCCTGATGGTATGGGGAATTGGGAGGTTGAGCTTGAGTGGCGTTACCTGGTGCGGGTGGGGGTGAGCTGGAAGGCCGCCGAATCGAGCCTCGCCTCCGGCCTCATCGCCGTCGCCGTGGGTGGGGGTGATTCTTCAGATCTTGCGGCAGCCAAAGATGTAGACCCAAAAATGGCCAAGAAGAAGTGGGGATTTGGCTGGATGGGGGCGCTGGAATCCGGGAGCAGGAGCAGGAGCAAATGCAGCAGGCAGGTAGGGATTTGGGACAAGCAAGAACAAAATTCAAGAAGGAAACTCTGGGAGAAAATCCTTCCTTGTGCCCTCTCCCTCCTAGGAACAGTTACAGAGGATGCAGGGAGGGGTAAAATAAATAGATAAATAAATAAAATGTGGGGAGGGGAGGAGAGAGCAGAGGAGGTTAGTGCGCGAAAGCTGCTTTGGTTTGGGTTTGGTAGCAAGAATTTCACTCTGTTATTGAGGCTGTCCATGTCCAATAACTTGAGGCTGTCCATGTCCAATCCAACCTGTCCGTCGTTGACGGTGAGCTTCTGATTTATATTCATCCTTCTCAGTTGCCCTATAGAGAGGAAAGGAATCAAGTTGTGATTTTCGGCGGATTTATTATGCCTCTAAGGTACTACCAAGTATTTCACTCTGTTATTGTAAGATAATGAAAAACATTCATTTATTTATTTATTTATTGTTGGATCGGCCACCAACACCCTAATAAGATGGCATGCTTTGGATTCTGTTAATTTCACTGTACTGTACTGTACTGTACTGTAGGACTAGAAGGACAAAGAGAGAGGACAGACAGGCCTATAATGTAAATGGAAGTATGTGAGCAGTGACAGAGCATAAAAACAACAATCAACCATGTGATGTGATGTGATGTGATGCGATGTGAGGAGCAAGTGCCATGCCAGCCAGGGGGTTATGCTGCTCATTTTGGCTGGTTGGCTAATTAAGCTGGTGGTGAGACTAAAATTAAGATTAAGAGAGAGGGAGAGCCAACAAGAAGCTTCTTTTTGCTTTGCTTTGCTTTGCTTGCTGCCTTTTAATTTGGTGGTTGAGTGTTTCGGTCTTGATGGACAGATTCTTATATTCTTTGCAGCACCAGCACCAGCACCAGGAGGAGAGATGCCATTTTGCTTATGGAACAATCAGATAGATCTGATCTAGGGCGTGTTTGGTTTCTTTCTTTCTCCAAAAAACCAGAAAACTCACTGCCTTGCCTCTGCATCGAGCAATGCAGACAACCATATTTATTATATTATTCAACAGAGTCTGACAAAAACAAATAAGTGGATCAGTCTCTGACCACACACCATCTAATCTGGTGGATTCACCAAGCCGCCCCACGACCAGCCGAGATTACCAACTAGTCTTCAGTGCGCATCACATACGCACACTCCAGAATATGTTGGCGCCATCTTGAGGAGAGATCCACACATTAACCTTCTCAGGCCCTACTATCATAGACACCACCACGACACCAAACAGCACCAACATTCTGCACGCATCCATCAACACACGTCTGTCGTTGAGGGAGTCCTGGATTAGGGGGTCCTCGGACGGCCGGACTGTTGGACTATGAAGATACAAGATTGAAGACTTCGTCCCGTGTCCGGGTGAAACTCTCCTTTGCGTGGAAGGCGAGCTTGGCAATTCGGATATGTAGATTCCCTTATCTGTAACCGACTCTGTGTAACCCTAGCCTCCTCCGGTGTCTATATAAACCGGAGGGTTTAGTCTGTAGGACAAGAACAATCATAATCATAGGCTAGCTTCTAGGGTTTAGCCTCTACGATCTCGTGGTAGATCAACTCTTGTAATACTCATATCATCAAGATCAATCAAGCAGGAAGTAGGGTATTACCTCCATAGAGAGGGCCCGAACCTGGGTAAACATCGTGTCCCCCGCCTCCTGTTACCATTAGCCTTAGACGCACAGTTCTGGACCCCCTACCCGAGATCCGCCGGTTTTGACACCAACATTGGCGCTTTCATTGAGAGTTCCACTGTGTCGTCGCCATAAGGCTTGATGGCTCCTTCAATCATCTACAACGATGCGGTCCAGGGAAAGGTTTTCCTCCCTGAATAGATCTTCATATTCGGCAGCTTCGCACTGCGGGTCAACTTGCTTGGCCATCTGGAGCAGATCGATAGCTACGCCCCTGGCCATCAGGTCAAGTTTGGAAGCCTGAACTACACTGCCAACATCCGTGGAGACTTGATCTTCGATAGATTCGAGCCCATGACAGGTGCACCCTACAGCCACGATGAGCGTGACCTAGATCTGTCGTCGGACGGTGTTCAGGAGATCCCACCTACAGCTGCCTTGGCTTTAGATCCAGTGCAGATCATGCCATCCGAGGACGGGGGGATGGACCCCGCCACGGAAGCCACACACTTAACGGCGATAGAGCCGAACACAGATTTCACTTCCAATGAGGTCTGTGTCATCGGACCCCCGGACTCATCTCCGGCCATAGACTCTGAACCGCATGTATCCGCACCCATCGAATCTAACTGGGCGCCGATCATGGAGTTCAGCTCCACGGATATCTTCCAGCACTCGCCCTTGGGCGACGTGCTAAACTCATTAAAATCTCTCTCTTTGTCAGGAAACTCTTGGCCGAACTATGTCCGGCTTGAGTGGGAAGCGGACGACGAAGGAATTCGTTACCCACCCACCACCCACTTAATAGCCACTGTCGACGACTTAACCGACATGCTTGATTTCGACTCCGAAGACATCGACGGTATGGACAACGATGCCGGAGAAGAAAAGGAACCACCGCCCACAGGGCGCTGGACAACCACCTCATCATATGACATATATATGATGGACACACTCAAAGAAAACAAGGGCGAGGATCAAAAGGATGCAACGGAGGGTAATCCTCTTGAGAAGCAACCAAAGCGTCGATGTCAGCGGTGCCGCTCTAAACCCTGCCATAGCAAAAACAACGATACCGGCACAAGAGACAATAGCACTCCGGACGATGCCGAAGACGAAAACAATCCCGCCCAGCCAAGCTTCGAACAGGCCGGACGGGAGAACGGGCAAGCTAGCCCTGAGGAACAGGCAATGGATGAAGACTCGGAGGATGACAATTACATGCCCCTCTCCGAAGACAAGGTGAGCCTCAGCGATGAAGAATTTATCGTGCCTGAGGATCCCGTCGAGCAGGAGTGCTTCAAGCGCCGGCTTATGGCCACTACAAAAAGCCTGAGGAAAAAATAGCAGCAGCTTCAAGCTAATCAAGATCTACTCACTGATAGATGGACTGAGGTCCTGGCAGCCGAGGAGTACGGACTCGACCCCCAACCAAAATTTACCCGAGGCGCAGGTTGTTACCTCAATTCGAGGATGAGGCACTAGAGCCTATACTACAAGCGCAGGATGCGGCTGACCGACCACCTCGTGGCCGAGACAAAGCGGCGCCCCATTGCCGAACACCAGCCCGCACCCCATTGCCGAACACTAAAAACACCAAGGCCCGGGGCTACACGCATGACCTACGAGACGAACTGGAAAATAAAGCAGGACAGTCAAGATCGATCTACGGATCGCGGGGGCACGCCCCAACGTGTGATGATGACCGCCACGCCGGATATACTAAATACAAATCTGACCGGGCCGAATACAGTAGACCAGACTCATCCGAACTGCGTCGCGATGTAGCTCGGCATAGAGGCGCCACACACCCCCTATGCTTCACTGACGAAGTAATGGAGCATGAATTCCCAGAAGGGTTTAAACCCGTGAACATCGAACCATATGATGGGACAACAGACCCCGCGGTATGCATCGAAGATTTCCTTCTCCACATTCACATGGCCCGCGGTGATGATCTACATGCAATCAAGTACCTCCCACTAAAACTCAAGGGACCAGCTCGGCATTGGCTGAATAGTCTGCCAGAAAACTCCATTGGCAGTTGGGAGAACCTAGAAGATGCATCTCTCGACAACTTTCAGAGCACTTATGTGCGACCACCGGATGCTGATGACTTAAGTCACATAATCCAACATCCCAGAGAGTCAACCAGGAAATTCTGGACTCGGTTCTTAACTAAAAAGAACCAAATCGTCGACTGTCCGGATGCCGAAGCCCTAGCGGCCTTTAAGCATAACATCCGTGACGAGTGGCTTGCCCGACACCTCGCCATGAGAAGCCGAAGTCCATGGCAGCCCTTACGACACTCATGACTCACTTTTGTGCGGGCGAGGACAGCTAGTTGGCTCGTAGAAACAGCACATCACGAAATCCTGACACTTCAGACGCCAGAGATAGCAACGGCAAGCTCCGGCGCAATAGACACAAGCGTCACAATAATGGCGATAACGCCGAAGACACGGCCGTCAATGCCGGATTCAGTGGCTCCAAGTCTGGTCAATGGAAAAATCTATTTAAAAGAAACAATCCGGGCCCGTCCAGTCTGGACCACATACTCAATCGCTCATGTTAAATCCACGGCACCCCCGATAAACCAGCCAACCACACTGATACGTCTCCAATGTATCTATAATTTTTTATTGTTCCATGCTATTGTATTACCTGTTTTGGATGTTTATGGGCTTTACTATGCACTTTTATATCATTTTTTGGACTAACCTATTAACCTAGAGCCCAGTGCTAGTTTTTGTTTTTTCCTTGTTTTTGAGTTTTACAGAAAAGGAATACCAAACAGAGTCCAATTGACGTGCCAATTTTTGACAATTTTTTGTGGACCAAAAGAAGCCCCTGGAGTGAAAGAGTTGGGCCAAGAGAGTCCCGGGCTGCCCATGAGGGTGGGGCACACGCCCACTCCACCTGGGCGCGCCCCCTGCCTCGTGGACAGCCCGAAAACCCCCCTGACGTGAGACCTACGCCAAAAAATCCTATAAATACTGAAACCTCCAAAAAATAACCTAGATCGGGAGTTCCGCCGCTGTAAGCCTCTGTAGCCACCAAAAACCAATCGGGACCTTGTTCCGGCACCCTGCCGGAGGGGGGATCCCTCACCGATGGCCATCTTCATCATCCCGACGCTCTCCATGACGAGGAGGGAGTAGTTCACCCTCGGGGCTGAGGGTATGTACCAGTAGCTATGTGTTT